AAGAGAGAGAGAATGAGGAGAGAAACTCTCTGGACTGAAAACTGAACTAGACAGCTTTAATTAAAACACTAATGATAAAAGAAATGTCTGTCTAATTCAGCCTCCTACAGGAGGGTCCTAGATCTCCCAGTAGTGTCTGAGCCAGAAGGGCAAAGATGTGACCTTGAAGTCCTGGCAGGAGCATAAATATTCCAGCATTTGTTACCAGGCCAAGCTGGAATATTTACTGCTAGTTAAAAGAGAGTTTGCTGAAGGGGGGGGTGGGGGGTGGAAATCTGTAAAAGGAAAAATGGCTTCATCCTGATACAAGGAGGACATTTACCTTCCACGCTGTACTGAGTCCCAAACCACCTCTCCTTCAGGTGGCACTGGCCGTCGTTGGCAGCAGAGAGCAGAACCAGGTTGGCTCTCTGAGGACTGAGCTGGTTAAGGGCATCAGCAATGATCTACAAGTTCAAGACAAGACTTCAGGTCAAATGCAACTCTGGCTCTGCCTGGCCCAGCAAAGACTTCTCAGTCTGAACAGGGGAAGAACAAGGCATAACAAGCTTACAAAAAAGATTTGCTTTCTGAATAGAAAGAGAGTGTTTCAATTAATACAAAACCTGTGCCAGGCATCATTACAGCTGCCTGTACACATGCCCATATTATACAGTACAGCTGTATTTTCCTTACAGCAAAACATGTCATCAGACTTCAAAGAACTTTTACCTCAGGTTTGTACTCAAACAAGAGCTGATCTCCTGTCAGAAAATCCTCCTTTGGAAACAACTGCATGTTCTCACAAAGGCTTTCCACATAGTCAACTGGATCTGTCTGCAAGCAAAACAAACAAGTTGTTTTTCACATAATCAGGAAAATTATCAGTCTTCCCTTCCGAGAAGAGCTTGACTGGTGGGGTATGTTGAGTGTAAGTTACATGCTGTGCTTGCTATGACATTTAGTTTCAATTATTAAACTAACATATTTCATAACCATATCTAAAGGCAAGACTCCTCTGAAGATCCTGAAACAGCAGACACATCATCTTTGTAGGAGAAACCTTGAGCATGCAGTTTAGTCATTAAGCCTATTAGGTTAAAGACCCAGTAGAATGCACTGCTTGTCTCCAGGGAACACAAGCAAGTCCTGCAATTCAAGATTTAAAATTATGCAGAACCTAGAAAGAGCAAGCCAAGAAAGTGCTGCTGCTGCACGTCTCTGATTCTGCTCCTAAGTTCTCTGCCATGGTGAGCAGTGTGAGGAGGAGGAGATTCTCCTCTTCAGACATGGAAGCACAGCCTGCCCTTTAACAGTGTAAGACTTCCAAAAGGAAATTTTGGTGCCATTCCAAAAAATCAAGTTACCAACAGAACATGGCTAAAAGTAGTGAGAGTAAGAATGTCAATGAAGTGAGGCTTCTCAGGGTATCTCAACTATGTTCCCTTCTTTTTCTTTAATGAGAAGCAGAAAGATTTTTGCTAATTGCTGTTTCAGTAAGACTTGCCACAAAGCCACATTTAACAGCAGACAGGAGGGACACAAGCACTGTAGCCTTTGTCATGCCAGGTCACCAGCAAGCCACATCTTCCACACATCAGACAAGGTGGCTGCTCCTGCTGCCCAGGAATCAGCATTGTCAAATAAAGTGAAATTGGGCAAAAGTCCCAAATGATTTGCAGAGCACTATTCATGGGCACAGAACTTCACACACAAAAAGGCCTAATGATTATAACTGAAAGAGCCTACCTGGCAGGTGAGAATGAAAAAAATAACATTTAAGCCTGTTAAGTAAAAATTCACAATATTTCTCTGCCTAGAACACAAATTCTTTCAGCAAAATATAGCCTTGTTAACAGCATAATCTATTTCTGGTTGAAAAGATCTTTTAATGAAAATGAGTTTCAAAACTAAAAAGAAATCCCTTTTGTGGTTTGCCTAGATCAACACAAAACAGTGGATGAATACCTGTTCCTGGTAGTGAAATTCATTAGCTTCAATCTTCTGTATTTCTTCCCATATTCTGTAAAGGAGGAAGAAGAGAATAAAAGTGGATTTCCTCCATTATTCCACAACATTTACTGAGAATCTAAAAAAAACCAACAATCTTCTAGGAAATGCATCAAGGGTTTGCTGAGTGACTCACTCAGGTACCAGCCATAGCAGCCAGTGTTACATTCCCTTCCGCCCCAAAAAGGCATTTCTCAAGTGGCAGAAAGAGCCTTCACTAAAAAGAGCAAAGATCTGGTACCAAAGTAACATAAAGGGTTAACACCAGAACACCACAGTCCTGACTTCCACAGACCTGGCTCAACAAATGTATTTAAATACACACAGATGTGCACCTAACATCTACACTACTCCAGCTTTCTAAAATTAGAAATTAGACCACAATAAATCAAAAAAAAACCAAGCATAAACATTTAGCAAAATAATTTTTAAATTTTTAAAAACTGATTTGTTTCCCATACAGAGAAGCTTTTCTACTGACTCCCTGCTTATACTCTAGTAACTCCACCAAAAGAGCAAACACCACAAATAAAAGCCTAATGGAGGACAATCTCACAAGTACCTGATGTCATGGCAAACACTTGCCTTTTATCTGGCCCTCTTTTCTGCAGCATCTTCACATACTGAAACACAACATGGGCCACCTGCAGACAGTAAGGAACAGCTTAATTTTTCCAGACCTTAGGAAAATTGTAAGAAAATCAAGTTTCAGTAAATCCTACCTCATAGAAGTGCTTGTAACCCTCATCAGTCAAAGTCACAGAAATGCTGAAGATGGAGTAAGTGGAGTTCTGTTCAAATCCTGTCTCAGCATTTCCTCCATACAATGCAAGAGCCCAAAACCTATGGAAGAGTTAAAGGTACTTATTAATTACTAATTTCAGCTTTATTTGAGCTTAGTTATACTTAGTATATGGTAGCTTTACTTCAACGGCTTTCAATCCATTTACAGTCTACACAAAGCTTTTCCAATATAAATATGTGAACCTCAGGATCCAGAATTTAAGAGAAAAAAAGTGAAAAAGCTCAGTTATCTTTTGGATCAGCCACAGATAGTGCTGATCCACAGATCACACAGCAAAACCCACTTATTTCTTAGGTGGGTCTACTGTCAATTTTTAAAATATCTCTGCAAAATGATGATATGAAAAGCCAGATTTGGTCTGCTTTATATATGTAGAAAAAAATACACACAAACTAGAGTTTGCCTTTATTTTAGTGATAAAGTATTTAATAACTACTTAAAAATACCTACTTTTTCCTAAGGAAAGAAAGGACACTGCCTTTGCCTTCATGTCCCACCAACCAGGAAATATAATGAAGAGGCTTCACCCTAAAATCAAATTAGAGAGAGATTAGAATGCCAGGAGGCAATATGTTTCACATAAATAACTCAAACCACTAGACAAATGACTAAAACATTTCTTCATGGCAAGTTTTGCATTTTCAGACAGCCCTGGGCTAATAAGTTAAAAATGTGGGAGTTCAGAACATAATGACTGATCTGAGTCAGTGAGGAGTGACATTAAATCAGCTGTGTACCAACTCAATTTATGAAAGGAACCATATCTGCATCAGCTGAATTCATTTTAAAAAATGTTCCCTGAGCTGAACCAAAGGAACCTGTAACAGGAATAAATGAGATCCTCTGATTTGTTGTGAAGATCAATACATTATTCAAAACATAAACATGGCATAAGTAAAATGCAGCACAACTGTACCTGTAATATTGTTCTTGTGGAGGAAGTGCCCAAGTGATGGTCAATGAATGAACCTTCCTGATTGGAACAACTGAACACAAATAAATTTACTAAATATACATGATTAGACACAGATAAGAAGTCTTATGTAATGCAGAAAGAATGGTTAAACATTATTCAGAACCATGCAGAATTATTCTACAAAGAGTTTGGCTCACACAGAGAAAATATGAAGCTAGATATTCCAAACATGTAAACAAAACTATTTTACTCACCTCTGTAAAGCTTGTGAAATTCTGGGGTGTCAAAAGGCTGAGTCAGATGGCCAAAGCTGGGTTTGGGTAAACCACTTAAAAGCAAAATTAAAGTTTGATGTTACTGGCAAGGACCCAAGGCTGCACAGAGACAATGACAAGACGTCAGCACCCACAGCTCTGCACACCCTGACAAAGGGTGCAGGCAGCACCCACCCTGCCCCAGGGGAGGGCAGCCCGGCCTGCCATTGAACACAGCATCCCCCAAGGTTCAGACACCCCACAACTCCTCCCTCTTCTTCTGCCCAAGGCAGTAGCCATGAAATGCTTGCTTTCCTAACAGGGGAAAGGAAAGCCAAGCAGATTAACTTCCCGAGTCAGCCCTTGACTGTCTTACTGGGAAGGAGGAACAAGAAGGACAAGGGCCTGGAAGAGACAAACATGTCTCTGAATGGCATTAGACTTTCACAAGCACATTTCCATGAACCACAGGACTAAACATCTTGCAAAAGCAGAAAATGAAAGGGAAATAAAATGCTTTTCAAGGCAGCAAAGCTTATGCAGAACCCCCTTTTGGAGAGCATATTGGACTGAATTATTAAAAAAAAAAAAAAAAGTTCTAACAAGTTGCCACCCTAAGGATGACTCTTAAATTCAAGATATGGTCTTAATTTAATTGCTGCTAATTATTTCTGACATAAAACAGAGATAAAAAATGTAAAATAATAATCTAGGTTTTAATGATTTATCATCAAATCAAGGTGTCAGTACCTATTAAGCAAACAGTCCTAGGAGCCAGTACAACACAGCTTGCAGGGTAAATAATTAATGAAACAATGAATACCAGTCTTTAATTCCCCAAAGTTGCCCCTTTTTTTTCTGGATAAGGATGTTAATTAACAACTGTTAATTTCCTTAGCTTCTCCAGTAAGGGATGTTCTATAACAATGGTCATTTTAAGAACAGACAATTTTATAATTTGTAATGCCTTTAGACATTAAAAGAATCTTACTTATTTGGGATCTCAGAGAAGATTTCTGTCACCCACTTCTCCAATGTATCCAGTGTTTCTAATAAGGAGAGAAAAAAAGAAAACCAGAAATGTATTTTCCTGAAGTTTTTAAACAAATCCTTTATCTTATCTCACCAGTTCAGTTATTTTAAAGAGGGTGCAAGTCAGCAGATTTAAAATTGCAAAGTTCTAAATTATAAGCTTCAAAGCTGTTGGTTTGAGTCAATTCTTAACATCCTCTAAACAGTATCTTTGGTCATTGTTCTGATTTTGTACATACTGCTGGAATCTCAGATGGTACAACTGGGATTTTAAGTCCAGCAGTATCTCATGGGACTGTGAAAAGGAATTAGCAAGTCAGGGATCTAAAAAATCACGAGTACTTGCTAGACTCACTCCATCCCTCTATGTCCACTACACAGGGAGCAGTTTTCCACACAGGTCTCTACCTGCCTCACCCTTAAGAAATTATTTTATTCTCAGCAGAAACGACCCATGGGTCTGAAGTTATTTGCTGAAAGTTTCAGTTTAAAGTCGCTCAAAAAGTGGCAGGATGACAACAGCACAGCACAATTGCTCAAGATGCTTTTGGAAACCAGGCTAAAATCTACATACAAATACCTCCTGCAGGACTGGACAACCCACACAAACCTTGGACTACAGCAGGATTAGTGTCAAAAGCACTACACCAACAGCAGCAAGGAGCCTGTTTTTAAGGAACAGCTGATGTTACCTTTAGATTGAACAACTAAAGTCATGTAGTGAGCAGAGTAATGGCGTTGCCAGAAGTCCCTCAGTCTGGTGTAGGTATCAATATTGTTCATTTTAGGCTGATGCTTGAGTGTCTCTGCATTACCTGTAAAAAAAGGTGGTTACTCACCTAGACACCTCAGACCAGATACACTCAGCCTTTCTTTTCCTCCCCTGGCACTGAGTCTAGTCACAGTGAGCACCTTAAAAATACTTTCTAGAAATGTGAAGTTAAAGGAATGTTTACTAAAATACAGTATCTTTCATTTCTAGTTCCTACGGTATGGACAATTGGTATTTCCATGACAAGGGAGGACAAAGTCCTCCTGCATTATCACTGTGTACTGCACAGCTCATTGTGTTGTGCCTCACCAGTGGGACTTGCAGATCCAGGGAAGGAAGAGGAGGGGAAAATATAACACTCATTACATGTCACTACAGAACTTCATACAATAATTTACTTGTCAAAGCTGCAGTTTACATGGGCACCAGCATCACGAGGGTGAGGGAGCTAGGACTGTATTGCCCAGGATAGGAAGGATAAAACTCCCTTCTGCTCCACTCACATGGCTGAAAAGGCCTACTTGCAAGTTCAACAGTGACTTATTTACTTTGAAAAGCCTTCTTAGACACAAATCCATATATACCTTATTTTTCCAGGAAATTTTAACAGCAAAGACAAGCTTAAGCAAGACAGAGATGACTCAAAGAGCACCACTTTTACATTAACAGAAAGTTACATGATTACACACCCAGATTTAACACAGCAAAAATCAATACCAGAAAGAGAAGTATCCTAAGAAGCAGAAAGCTTCTTTTATTCCCAAACATTTTGCAGTAAAATGAATAATTGCTCTAATACTTCTGAGCCAGGCTAGTGTTTGCTATGATAAGAAAGTCTACGCTAGTGTATCTTGTAAGTGGTTAAAACTTTAAGCACTATCACCACTTTATAATATAAATTCAGAACATACCCCAGAAAAATTTCTTCATAGGATGTCCAGGCCTGGCAAGACTCCCAAACAGCATCTCCTTTCTGTTTGCATCAGAGGGCCTTGCTAGCTGATACTCTGTTAATTAAAAGTATTTGCAGTGGCATGCATAAAAATTTGAGGTCATGTTCCCACAAAACAAAACAAAAAGCAAAAGCTCCAACCAAACTGAAAAGAAGACACACAAATGCAGCCTGGAGTAGTTTTGTTTTAATGTATGATGAAGTAGTGAAATAGGATAAGGAACTGGACTTGCCAAAAGTAATTAATGTAACAAGAGAAGAGGAAAAATGTAGCTCCTTGCTGAGAGGTAAAGGAGGTAAAGGGATAAGGAGGGGAAGCATGGCAAGCCCAGCCAGTCCCACCAGAATGCTTTCAAACTGCTAGATGCTAGGGAAAACAAGGCCTGCTTCACGCATATATCACACAGAGCAACTTGTAGCCTACTAATGAAACAAGAAATAGAAAGCTGAGCAAGACAGTTCTCAACAATTCAGTCTCACAATCAGTTTATACTACTCTAAATATGGGTTTCTGCCAAAATTAAGAATTCACCCTCTTGAACTGCATTTTCCTGCTCCTATTTTTGCTGGCAATAAGAAACATGCACAGCAGAGCTGTAAACAAATTATTTTGGCTGAGTTATTCTGCAGCCAGTTCATCAAGCTGGCAAAATTTACTCATGAGTGCATCACTACAGTGTTCATACGAGGGCAGGAGAGGATCTGCATGATGCAGACAGTGCCAGTGAAGGCCTAAAGTGGCTTAAGCTGTTGAAGAAACCATACCTTAACTCAGAGACAGGTCCTTGTTTATACTGACACTTCTCTAAATTTAAAGATCAATTTGCCAATTTTTCCTTGCCAGAAGACAGATGAAGAAGATTTGGAATAAATAATTCATCCAGTTAGTGTATCTGCCAGTAAGTTTTCTTCTAAAACAGTGAAGTTTTATAGGCAGTCTGAAGGTATTAATTACATATTAGAAAACCACTGAACGCTCCATTCACTTCTACACCTGTTTCAATCTCCTTCTGTGAAGAGCCTGTAGTTATGAAGATGTCAGTACATGGAGACAAGTACAATCACCTCAACTTACTGTATTAACCTCACACAGGTTAATACAGAGAGGCACTGGGGCTATGCTGGAGCTGTCAGTGTGTTGTTCACTGAAGAGCATCCACAGCTACTGACAAACCACTTGAAACTGTTAATTCCTATTCCAAGAAGTGAGATGGTAAACACTGAGAGTGATGGCACTAAGTTCAGTCCTTCTATTTACAGCCACTGATATCCATGAAATTTACACTGAAGTACTTAATCTCTCTGTTAAGTTAGGTGAACTTGACAGAAGTGCTCAGAAGAGTAGTCCTAAATGGAAACCAATAAACAATGTTTAAAAATACGGGGTTTCACTTAAGAAGATGGGCTAAATAGGAAAGATACTCTTACCACTGTCTACAGCCTCGACTTCTCGGTCTATTGCATCCCTGATCATCAGTGGGTGAATAAAGAATTGTGCCCACCTACAAAACAGAAAAATTCATATAACGTTTTTTCAGTGTCTATTAAGCTAAGGGAAAAAAAACAGCAATTAAAACCATAATCTTCTATTTTAGTTTATAAAGTCGCTTGTCTCACTACAGATTCTGTAACTCTTGGCTATTCTGCGTTAAGGAAAGATAAAAGCTAGTTTTGTGATACCATCAAAAACCAAAGGTCAGGGCTTCCCTGCTCCATAGAGGGGGAATTAATTTGTTTGGGTACAGTAAGATATGATACTAACAGGTGCAGGATTATCTGCATTTACATCCTAAGAATGATCACACCAGATCAGACAGCTGACCCACCTGGTCTGGTTCCTGGCTCTAACAGGGACCAGTATCAGATGCTTCTGAGGAAGTCCTCAGTTGTTCATTAGGAAGTTTCTTCCTAACTCCAGGCAACAAATTGTTGATCTATGTCATGAAACATATGTTTTTATATCCATTATAATTGTGTTATCTACTATAAATGTCAATGCAGTCATCCAGACACAACCCTTCTCCTGTGCCCACAGAGAGCACAGTAATGGAAAGGGACAGGTCTGTAGTGAATGGACACTCTGCAGAGGCTGCCAGAGAAGATAATATTTCTATTTTATTTGTTGAGTGTTTTTAATGATGAACTGGACTTGCTGAAGCAAAAGGTTAAGATAATACATTCTTGACAGACTTCCATGGCTACAGGACCCATGAAGCTAAAGATTACTGAATGGTGATCTTTCCATTCCTTTAGATCCAGAAGTGCTTGAATGAGCAGAAACAGCAACAGCAGCACCAATGTATCTTCTTTGTATGAGACACTGTCCTACAGAACCCCTGGTTTCTGTGTCTCCACTAAGTGACCTGTTGTGACAGACTGCAATACATTTTTTGATTCTTTCACACTTCCAAGTATCCAAAAGCTGGACTAATCCACAAATGAAAGGTGATTTTGGCCCAGTAAAATAAAATATAGGTAAAAATTGGTAAAATGTGCAACCATTTATTCTTGGTGTCATCACAGGAATGTATTTTGATCAAAAGAAGTTTGCAGTGGATTCTATTGTCCTCCTGAGAGATTCTATAGCACCAAGAACACTCAGCTGCCATGCTCCTATGAACGAGTCATCTCCTCTCACTGAAGGAAACCAAGCCATAAGGTGGAGCTCTGTTGTCCCAACATATCCCACAGCACAAAAGAGCAAATGAAATGCTTTCTGACAAAGATACATACTCGACTGAATAACCTAGGCTAGGTTAAATGTATCCTTCTGAGACACACATTGTGCCCTGCCCTTCCACTCACTTCAACAGATTAGACTAGGAACAAAAAAAATTATTCAAAAACCCCAATATCAGGACAGACATTTCAAGGGATGAGTCACTAGGATGTTGGGAGCACTCCCTCTCTGAGCAGTTGTCACACTGTTTAAGATTTCTCCTGTTATTAATGCTACCAGTTAAAGGGTGGTCAAACAATTAAAAATGTAGATTAAGACTTGCATATGGATCCTAAGCAATCTCACAGCAGCTCCAGAAGCAAAAACAAGTAAGATATCCAATGGAAAAAATTATTTTCCTTATATTCAACATACTCTGTGGTAGTACGAGTATCTCTGGAAGTTCAGCAACAGCCTTAATTACCCCAAAATGAAGAATTAAAGGGCTACACCTGAGCTCCTGAGGCACACACAGTCATTAACTCCTGATGAATGTTTAGCTGCAGTTACCTATCAAGAGCTTCCTTGAAGTACTTCCTCTGCACATCAAACTGGAAGACTGTCCGCTCGCAGTCCGTGGAAGCGTTGTCACTGCCCCCATGCTTCTTCAGAAACGCATCAAACCCGTTCTCAGCTGGGTACTTCAAACTGCCCATAAAAACCACTGCAACAAAAATCAGCACAATTACCAAGGTGACATTCATGTGTGGCTCCTAATTCAGCGACAGCAACCCCACTTCAGCACAGTGTTACCACAGCTCACACACTGAAGAGCAGCAGACCCTGTAATCTGCCCAACATCTGGGCAAGCTGCCTTTAGCAGCAGGCCCAGGCAGACTGAAGTCAACACTGCCTTTCTAGGCATGCTTTGCCTCAAGTGGTCAAGAGCAGTATTATGAGACATATCTGGACAGAAACTTCACGTGGCTTCTGTGCCTGTATTACTAATCCATCATCCTTTACTGCAGAGAAAACTGTCTGTAGCTCTAGCCTAGTTTGTACAGCCATAGCTGTACAAACATAGCATTACATGCTTCCTCCCATGTTTAACGGGGAACAAAGAAACATTAAGGTTGGAAAAGACCTCTAGGATCATCAAGTTCAACCACTAACCCAACACCATCGTGCCAACTAAACCATGTCCTGAAGTGCTATATCTACACATTTTCTGAACACCTCCAGGTATGGGGACTCCATCACTTCCCTGGGCAGCCTGTTCCAATGCCTGACCACTCTTTCAGTAAAGAAATTTTTCCTAATATCCAATCTGAATGTCCCTGGTGCAACTTGAGGCCATGTCCTCTCATCCTATCACAGGATACGTGGGAGAAGACTGACCCCAAATACACATATGAACACACAGCCTGCCAAAAGGTACGAGGCATATTCTCCTATATTAAAAGTTCCTTACTAAGGCATTAGTTTTATAAAAGTCACTTTTTTTTTAACTAATTAAATTCTGGGATAGCTAAAATAGAAAATGATATTAAAGTACTATAAAAATGCAGAGCTAGAGAGCATTCATTTTTAACTGAAGTTGGAGGTGAGACAGGATACATACTGTGCTCCAAGAAGTGTGCTAACCCAGGCAGATCTTCAGGATCAGAGAAGCTGCCAACAGCAATGCAGAGGGCTGCTGCAGACTGGAGAAAATACAACACTCAGTCAAAACTGCTTCAAGGAACACTTCAGGAAAACAACAGAAGTAAAGATAAATCAGTCAGGACAGATACAATAAGAAGGTGGTCTAGTCTGAATGCCTAATGACAAGGTTTCAGAGCACAAGAAAGTTCACTATGTATTTTTCCAAACTACAGCTTTAAGTACATACCTGCTTCTCTGTACAGCCTCTCTTTCTTGTATCTTCCTTTTCAGCTAGCTCTTCTAATTCACTGTCATCACTATCACTGAAATCATCATTATCTTCATCACTGTCCTCATCTCCATCCTCCTCATCACAGTCCTCATCATCAAAACCTTCCCTATGATCTTCGATCTCAGCTCCAGAGTCGTCATCCTCATCACTTTCCCCTTCAGATTCATCATCATCGTCTTCATTCTCCTCCTCCTCAGATAAAGTAGCTGAGGTACCGTCCAAGTAATTCAAATCCGAAATCAAAAGTGCACATAAGCCATTCTGCAGTTTGATATACCTGAAAGAATAATTATTTTACAATCAACACACTCAAATCCCAAGTCTAAATTTCCAGAATTGCAAACATTTCTGCATTTCCCACAGCAGTTTTGTGCTCTTCAACTGAGATTTCCAAATTAAAATCTAACAGCAGCTAAGAAGGTGAGTAGCTTGACAGTGGGAAAGTAAAAACACTCTTTGGCTATTCAAGAGCTTCTAGAGTAAGAAAGAAGCAACTCAAGGTAGTAGAAGAAGACCTCATCCCCATAAGGGCAAGGACACCAATTTGGGCTTTCATTTCTCTCTCTATGAAATACTTAAGCTGCTAGCACTCTCTCAGATAAAACTCTGTACTCAGAACAGGCAAACCCAAACTTCAATAGCCTCTTATGCTTGTCAGGCTCTTGGAAATAAATATTATGTGGCAGAATTAAGATCTTAGTCCTTGCCTCTAAATAAGCCCCAGAGACTCCATTTTATTTGATTAATGCCTTATATTAAATGGGATCCATGGACATAGCAGGCATGTGTTAGAAAGGACAGATCTCTGCAGATTTAATAAAAAATGTCACAGGGAGTTGGTTGTGTTGCTATCAAGAAGCAATATACACAGAGTTGTCTGTACATAAAATTGTTTATATGTGTGTGTGCATACATATGCACTAAAAAAACCCCACAAGCCCTCTGTCCTGCACCATGCTATAGGTTTGCAGGTTGAGGACTGCAAACACCAATGCTTTGTGCAACAAGATCTCAGAGCAGTATTCGTTTTGCATCAGATCAAAGACAGACAGTAACAATTTGTCAAATTAGCCACAGCACCCTCTGGGAGCTTGAGTTGCAGAGAGGGAAGAATGCTGGACCCAGAAATACTTGATCTGACCAAAGAATGAGTGTGGTATGACAGGTGGTATCTGATCCAGCAAAAAAACCTGCTGGTATAAACCAAATCCATGGTCACATCCCACTCTCACAGAAACATCTGAGTTACATAGCAAGTTTATAACTGATCAGAACATTGTCATGTGGCCACTGTTATAACTATGTAGCAGAAATTTCAAACCAGATTTCCAGCTGAAGCTTTGTGGTAAGTACCCAAAAGAAAAACGAAAGGCACACTGTGTGTTTTCCAACTCCATGGTTCCAAAGTTTCTCACACAAATTTCTCATGTTGCATTCACAGGTATCATTAAGCAATTTCAATGCTTCTCAGCAATAAAAGCATGGGTTATTATCAACAGTCCAATTCAAATTATTAAGTCAGTGCAAGCTTCACGTTCTGCCAGAGCAGCAGGCCCTCTGCTATGGCTTTGCAAGCCACAGGCCAGCTTGGAAACAAACTACTCAAGAGTACCTCTCTCCCAGCTGAATTTCATGGGGATGCATTTGGCAGAAAGGGGGTTACTGTGACAAGAGTTAAGCAAAAGCCACTTCCTGGACTATCAAGTCCACAAAAAAAGCTAAAGAGCAAATGTTAAATAGTTGTTTATGAACTATGACCACTCATCCAACAGGAACTGACAGCCAGGGTTTCATAACCATTACCAGGCTCGTTTTGCTTGCTGCAGGACTGCTGAGCAGCACAAATTTGCTCCCAGCAGAAGCGTAAGTGCCTTTTTATTCCTTTAAACTACAGCACATAGTGTGCAAGTCACAGAGATGCTATGACTAACTGCATGAGACTACAGCTAGTCCTAGATCCCAGCTAATATCTGTGTACAAAGTTAATCATCCATACCACTCCAAATGTCTGGAACAGTTGCAAGTGTTAGTGCCATCTACATCTGTTACTTTATGCAGCTGCAGCACTTGTGAGTGCACAACAGGGCTCCTGGAAACAAATACACTGAGCACCTCAGCCCCTGGAGAGCTCAGAGCAAGAGCGCAACAGTGACAAGCTGAGAGAGTTGGGGCTGTTCAGCCTGGAAAAGCAAAGGCTCTGGGAAGACCTCAGAGTCTGAATTCCAGTGCCTGAATGGGATCCAGGAAAGATGGGGAGGGGCTTTTTACACAGGCGTGGAGTGACAGGATAAGGGGTAGTGGCTTTAAACTGGAAGAGGGGAGAGTTAGGTTAGATATTAGGAAGAAATTCTTCAGTGTGTGGGTGGTGAGACACGAACAGGTGGCCCAGGGAAGTTGTGGATTTCCCCTCCCTGGAAGTGCTCAAGTAGAGATCAGATAGCACTTTGCAACCTGATCTAGTGGGAAGTGTCCCTGCCCATGCAGGGGGTAGGAACTAGATGATCTTTAAGGTCCCTTCCAATTCAATCCATTCTATGATTCTGTGACAAGTCAACACTGCTGCAGCACATCTCCCAGCACAACCATAATCATCTTTACCTCTGCATACAAACTGTCTTTTTCAGGTTTTCACGGCCACAGAGAACACTGGCTTTCCAGTGATGGATACAAAAGCAGGGAAAGCAGAGAACAGAGCAGTGCTGTTCTTCCAGGAGAAGGATTTGCCATCATTCTGTTCAGCCAGGTGTACCCAGTAGCTCTCACTGATCCTTTTCATATAACTCCATTAAACTACTGGAACAGATTACACTAATTTTACATCCTCTATCTTCAGGCTTGTGGGTGTTACATACCAGGACAGAAAGCACCTGGCAACAAGGCAACAACCACACTAAACTGCTGTTTAAAGTTATCAGATTTCACGTCAGGAGGATCTGGAACAGTTTAGGTTATACTAAGCAGAGGCACCAACTGACATAGGTGTTCTTTACTTTTTCCATGTTTCAGCCCAATGGAAAAGGACAAATGTAATCAATACGTAAGTATCCATTAGTATGCGAAATACAGTACCAAAAAATGTAATTGTGTAAAGCAGAAAGAGAAGCAAGTATAGTGGTGCAACTACTTTTTTGAAGGACTGTACAGGCATCAATGCAAATAAGGCTTAAATATAAAATAAAATTCAAATTCTCAAGACTAGCATTTAAACATCCTGGACAAGTTTAAACAGGGTTGTTTCCACACCAAGTTTTTTCTTATATCAATGATAACTATTCAGCAGTTAAATAAATATTGAAATACACATCAACAGATAGTAAATTCTTGGAGAAACGTTTTCATCTCCCCAATTACCCCAAACGAGGAACAAAAGCCCATGAAATTCCACATATCGAGGAATTTAAATAAAATATACTTTTTGGTAATTACCCATTCATAGCTCTAATGAACAAACCCAACTTTGATTATGACAGTAATTTTTGTCTCAACAAACTCACTTTGGAAAACACACTCTGCACTCTGTCAGAACTATTTTGGTTTTACTTTCACTGTACTTGGGAAAATAAAATACAGCATTTTCCACTAAGTTAAGACTGTTGTCATCACAAAGGCACACTAACCTCCCTGTGACTGGTCTGCAGTATCCATCATCACAGAGGAGAAAGTGTACATGCATCATCAAATCACCTGCCATTTCCTTAGGAGGTCTGATATAGAGTTAGCAGCCACAGGTAGGATTTACTTTCAGTCACACTGAAGTTCTCCTTCCTAAAGGCAATGTTTGTGTCTGCTCTGTGCAAGCCTCACTTCCCACAAGTGGAAATCAGTCTGAAAAGATGTGGCACTCTGCTTTCAATTGAAAAAAAAAAAATAATTAACTGTGGAGAGTAGGATTTATGAAGGTGTTGGTACTGGTTTATCTTACACTATAAGCAAACACACTCCTCAACTCTCTACATACAGAGAAGGTTCCTGAGCATCAAAATATATAGCCAGTGATGGTTTCCAATGCACTTCCTAAGCTTCATCATTTGGGAAGTTTCCAAGCTGACAGTCTCTGTAACCATGAACTCGGCAGGAAGACAAACCTCCTGCTAAGTAGGATGAGTAAGAAAGCCAGCAAGAGAGGCCGGCAGAGATCCAGAGGAGCAACAAGGAAGTAGGGCAAGAAGGGAGGGAACAAGTCTCGTCCTAAGCCAATGGGCACAACCCTCTTCACACAGTCAGCAGGGAATTTCACTGTCAACCAATGTCACTGCAGATCCAGAACTCAGTTTCAAGCTTAGGAAGATTCTGCACTGGCTGCACAGATTAGACACCACAGCAAATAAAGATAAAAGCAAGCCATCTCTAGAAAGGGCTGAATACTCTTCTGCTTAACAGGAAGAAGCTGTAACAGCATCCCTTCAAGAATGACTGCCTTACAGCATCCAAACGTGGAGCAGCTGGCTGTTCTCAGCTGAGTCTCCCACTGCCACAGACACTGGGATGTGCTCAGGGCAGGTAAGCTGACTTCCTCAGGGATTGCTCAAAAATAAACAAAAAATACCAGTGTAAAAATAACTGCTGTCTCGACATGCTGACATACTTGTGTTAAAATCTGGAAGTTCACCTAAAACGAGAAGAGTACCAGCCTTTTTTAAGCTGGTATTTGCTCTGCAACACTGGAACTGCATTTCATGCTTCAGCTTTAAAGCTTGTGGAACGGAGATGCCTAGACCAGGGCTGCAAACTAACAACCCGATATTGCTGTGCCTCAAAAACGTGGCACCACAGCAGAGCCTGCGAACAAGGACTGTTCTTCCCTTCTGCCCAAGCCCGTCAGCGCACACAAACCAGGCAGCCCATCCTCGGAACAAGCACAACGGCGAAGCCCCGCTCTCTGCTTCCTACCGCGAGGCCCCCGACCCCCACGAGGGACCCCACGAGGGTCCCCACGAGGACCCGGCGTGCCGGGCACACGGGGCAGGCCCCACGCTCCCCCACACCC